AATATACAGCAGCAACGATTACATCTTATTGCCGAGTAATTGTTACTTGGCAAGTACGGATAGTTTACTTAGTAAATATTGTGGACGCAATCAATTCTTGTATATACACACTAACAACTATAGGCACAAAAAAAAGAAGATTGTTGATCTTGTTGTGACCGTAAATAAGTAAGAACTATGAGATGGCATGGCAACGGTTAGCAACCGCGTCAGCAAGTAGTGTTCTCGTAACTAAGCAACAACAGTCTCGACGATGGCCGTGGAAATATCAGAAACAAAGGCTATCGGAGCTCTCTCCGCGCTATCTGCTATCTGCGCGTCGCCTCGACCACTATTATCTCCTCCTCTCTATTTCTCTAGGCCGGTTTTCGTTTCGAGAACGAGAATGAGAGGATGATGAAGATGAAGAGAAAGAAGAACGAGAAGATGTAATGAACTCGTAACGCGGAAGTGCGTCTCGTCTGGAGTTCTTTCTATGCGTTGCGTTCGTCTGGTCCGTCTTGCCTTTCTTTCTTTCTTTGCCTCCCGAGAAAACGCGTGAGAACGTTTACGTTCTTCTATAAACATCTCTTATTGCCGCCGACGCCGCCTGTTTACGCATTCAAAACTCGTTTCTTAAATGGACAGACACGAAAATTGAGCCGACGATTTGAAAACAAAGAGTTTCCCAATACAAAATATTCTCAGTTTGGGCGTTTTAACGTAACCGAAATCAATTGAACACACTTTTTTCTCTCTCCTCTCTCAACGAAAGTCGACAGTTTAAATACACAAACATTGATAACGAATCTAGGAGAAAGCGTACGATCCTGTTCGTATTTACACATCGTTCCAGGATGTTGAAAAACGCTTATTCAAAAGTTATAAAACGTTGGAAAAATACAACTATTTCATTAATATTTATTTACTTTCATGTATACAATAATCTTTAATTGTTACTATAAACAAACGATTATAAAATAAACATAATCGAATCTAGGAAACGGTGCTAGCCGTGAGATCGAATGTCTTTTGTTTTCTTCGCACGTCTTAATCACCGCCACCGCCGCCGATAAGCAATCCAAGCTAATGAGCCGTCAAAAAAAAAGTGATGATGATGAGTGTAGTAAAAAAGGCAAACAAAATCTGACCGGTTATCGACTTTGAATTTATTATGTGCGATTCCGAGAAAATCCCTCCGTCGTCGGGTTATCATCAAGTTGGCTCGTCGTTCACATCACTTATCCTATTCACATGTTTACTACCATCGCGTTTGTTTGTTTGTCTGTTGTTGTTTTGTTTTAGATAGATTTGATTAATTTTAATTTCTTCTTTTTTATCGGTCGAAGGAAATGAGATCATTCGTTGCATTTCAAAATCCGTAAACAGTCCAAAAGAGGATGTTATAATTTTTTTTTTCTTTTTGTATCAATTTTTTTATTTCACATGATAAAAAATAATTCACATTCTGATAATTAGCAAAGAAAAGATTACTAAAATATATAAAAGAAAATATTTCAAGTTAAAGTTAGTAGTATGTTATAATCAAATAAGTTATGTAATAATAACGAAATTATTAGGAAAAAAAGAAAACATCAAAGTTTTTATAATAAATTCAAATAACTCAATAGAATTATGCTGAAGTGTTTATAACTGAATTACATAAATGTTATGTTTTTTTTGAACATAATAAAAATAGTTTGTTAGAAAACAGGACTTCAAACAATCCTTACAAAAAAATGTTTGAAAGAAGTAATGAAATTGTGAAAAATAAATTCTGAAAATGTCAATTAATAAAAATCATAAATTTTACTATCAATACAGATAAAAGAAAACTTGAAATTTTGCTCCCACTAAGAAATATGTGTTTTTACTAAACAAAACCAATTTCTTTTTTGAAATACAAGCATGGATTTTTTTGTTAAATGATGAAAATTTATTAATATTTTGATAATTAATAAATATTTGTACATAATTATAATGTATATATATATTTTGTTTCAATTAGAATTTTGTTTTAATCTAAGGTATAATCTGTTATTCCATGACACAAAACCAAACTAGTTATGAATGAAGAACTTATTTTCTTTAATACGATAAAAAAATAATAAAAACTTGATAATTAACATCGAATTATCATCAGCCACAGAGTGTAAAAGTACATAAGAAAATTGAAATA